TTACTTCTTACATTTTCACACAATTATCTGTACTTACTATTCCTTACATTTTTTAAAAAAGGCAAGAAGTAGAAAGTTGTTACTTTTTCTTTTTTGCTTGTTTTCATTCCAGGTTGTTATTGTAAAAAATAAATACTATCCATATAAATTGTGCCTCCAAGATAGAGTGAATTTAATTGTGGTTGAATGAGAAGTATAAATATATAAAATTCTGATACCGTATTAGTTTGTACACAAACAAATCATGTCACACTCCAGCAGGACAGAATCATTAAATAAAAGGACTGTACTTAAGAAATATTTGTATTTCATGAATTATATTATTGCATTTGGCTGCAGCCCTCAGATAGATTTTTGTTTTGGAGAAAATGTTTGTGCAGCCTTGATATATGTAAATAAAGTGAAACAGCTAGATTAGGGCATCCTAAATTAAAATAAATTAAACACTATTTTAATACGATACAGTCATTTCTGAGGTCACCTCCTAATAAATGTCATTACAGAAAATCTAACTGCTCATTTTATTTCAATACTTTTACTTTTAATACTTAAGTACAAAAAATATCAGATACTCTAAGACTTTTACTCAAGTAATATTCCTAAAGGAGACTTTAATTTTTACCAAAGTAACTTTTTGGTAAGATACTTGTACTTTTACTCAAGTATCACTTTGTGGTACTTTATACAACACTGAAGAAAACACAAAAGGCCTTAAATTTGTACAATTTTGATTAGCTTAATAGATTATATTTAGTTTGTGTGTGAGAGTCTCATTTTTCTGTGTGGCCCTGTGATGGACTGGCAACCTGCACGATGTACCCTCTGGTCCAGTTAGCTCTACACCCCTGTGGCCCTGAGTAAACCAGTTAAGAATGGAGGGATGTTTTATCATCATTATTATGTCTTTTTGCAAGTCTTGCTGACCATAAGTTCTCCAGATACGTAACTGTTATTACGTCAATGTTGACAAGATCCTTTAACTGTCATGCAGCAGCAAACAAAACCAACATTTTTAGATTAATTACTCCATACGTCCAGGTCTGTGTCACAGTTTCCTTCTCCTATCAGTGAACTTTTAACATCTATTTACCACAGAGATAATTTAAAATTTAACTGGGTTTTAAGCCGCATAGTAATTAGAGCCAACTACATCTTTATGCTCATTAGAGAACCAAGGAGAAGCATTTTGTTCCTGAGTCRGTGTGTCAGGTGATTTGTGTGACAACCTGTGGATGAGAAGTGTCAACAGTGAATAAGAGACACAAGAGAAAAAGCTCATCATTTGAATGTAAACCCATAATGTCGATTTTATTTTGAAATCCCATTGCCCTCTTATTTTTGTTTTATTTTATTTTTTCTTCAAGTGTTTCTTTGAGGTGTTCTGATACAGAATTGTACCACAGTTTGAATATAAGTACAGGCTACACAACATGAGTTGATTAACTCCAAAAAGGTAAACATTGTGTTAAAATCTGATGGATTATCAGTCTGATGCAGATTTAATCCCATCTTTTCAGGTATCCCAACGATTTATCCTCGCAAGAAAGAATTAAAGCTCATCCTGGGGTCCTCCCACGCGCCGAGTCTCCCCTCTGCACGCTGATTGGTCGGCTCCGCAGCTTCAGGACCACGCAGGCTGAACAGCGACGCGCAGCCGCTTCAGGAGGATGCTGCTCCGCTTCTGCCTCCCAGCGCGGTTACTATGACACCGGTCCTCCTGCTTTTTCTCCCTCAGCCTGATGTCATTGTTTCACCCATCTATGGGAAGTCTCTGTGTTTGTAGCTCGTGCCCCCTCTCGGTTTGATCGCTCGTGCTCTGCTCTCTGCACGGGGGATCTGTTTTTCGCAGAAGCTCGGATGCACAGGTTCCGTTTCGAGTCGAAAAGGCATGACGGACTCCGCCGATCCCGCCGCTCCGGTTCTCCTCAGCAGCTGGATGTCATCATGCACAGTGCCGGGTCCCCACCACCACCACCATCATCATCATCATCATCATCATCATCATGTGATGCCGCGGGTCTCCTCGCGCCTCTTGTGACATGACATCTCGGAGCAGGAAGAAGAGGATCAAGGGTCGGAGAGGGTTCAGACCCAAACTGACAGTCTGGATTATCTGAGTGGAAGGAGTTCAGCATCAGTTTGACTCTGATTGATTAATCCAGATTTGGGCCTCCAGCTGGTGACACCTTCACAGCCTCATCTGATGTACGGCCTCATAGTCCCGGCCAGCTGTGAGCCTCCCCCACGCGCCCACTCGCGCCCCCCGGCCTGTCTGTCACACTCACCCGGCCGCTCCTCCTCCTGAGCGTCGCCCGCCATGGGCTGCATCCAGAGCATCGCGTGCAACAAGTCGCGCGTCCGCCGGGAGAACATCGTGGTGTCCGACCTGTCGGCCACCATAGACCACTGCCCCACGCTCATTGAGGAGAACTCGCCCATAGTGCTGCGCTACAAGACGCCCTACTTCAAAGCCTCCGCGCGCATCGTGATGCCCCCCATCCAGCGCAACGAGACCTGGGTGGTGGGCTGGATCCAGGCGTGCACCCAGATGGAGTTTTACAACACCTACGGAGACATTGGCATGTGAGTTCACACACCTGACGCACAGAGGGACACAGAGAGGGGCGTTGTGTCTGAAACACATCCTGCTGAGTTTGGAGCGTTATTTTTGCGCGCGCAGCAGGTTCCCTCTCCTCCGCAGCCTCCTTCATTCAGACGCCCACCGACAGATTCTGTTCCTGTGACTCCGGCACCCGAGTACGAAAAGCTGCTAGTAGATGAGGGAAACAACATTTGCTGCTCCCGGACTCAGACGTGTGCCCGCAGGGGACAGGCAGGCATATGTGAGGGGGTGTTTCATCTGAGAGGACTGGGTGTCACTGGTCATGAAAGCAGAGCAAACAGAAGGAGAGGGGCACCAGATGACCAAAACAAAGAGATTAATTATAATCTGACAGATTTACAGTAACATGCAGGATTTGGGATGCGCTTCACTTTAGGACGGTTCCCAGCAGCATCACTAACAAATAATGTTTAACATATTTCTAAAACTGATCAAAGGCTATAAGGAAATCTACCTTATGGAAATCACCTTTTTTAAATTTTACCCACAAACACTTTTAAGTTCAATATTAAAGACTTGTTTTTTAATGTATACATTTAATTAGAAGCCCCCGCACCCATGTGTGTACTGTATGTGTGTGTGTGTACACACAAGCCATACAGTCTGACATGAAGAGATTCTGTCTGTGCAGGGTGTGTTTAAGTGTCTTTATCAGGCGTGTTTTTATTTTCATTGTTATGAATTATAAACTTTTTTTTTACTTTTTAAGGTGTGTTTGATTTTAGCTGTGTTTAGTGTGTGTATTTGTATGCATATGCAAATCTATTTATATAGGCCAATATTTTAAAGGTAGTGCATTTACTGTAGCTGATGATGAATGGTAATTTGTTTTATCATGTATGGAAATACCCAGGAAAATGACAAAAAAAGACATCTTGAATATATAAACTCTGAGTTGCCGAATCTAAAATACTGTATTTTCACTGTTTAGCTCACTTTCTGAGTGTAAAATCCTAAAAAAAAATCCCACTAACATTTTTTTGTTGTTGTCATTTAGCTCATTGTTCTTTTTTAACCTATTTTTTTTCTCTTTTTTTGCCACTTCAGTAGAAAACAAAACTGAATGTTAGTTTCTTAATTTCTGCATCATCAGTGGCTTTTTTTATAATACTATGGTAAGAAAAAAAAAGTAGAAGAGAAATATAAGAACAGTAAAGAGAGAAACTGATAGAAATTGTACAACATGTGAAAATGAACACCAATAACACACAGGACACCACACCCAACATTTGAACATCACACACAATCAGGCACATACACATACACTCACCGGCCACTTTATTAGGTACACC